CCCCTTCCCCAGGGCCCGGGGCAGCGCCCACCGCCGGGGGTGTCCGGGGAAGGGCCACGGGAGCAATCCCGCCCCCGAAACGTGGAGCGTCCCGGGGACTCTGTCATTTCCCCCGAGGGACTGGACTGCTCGCGGCCGGCCGTCTGGGGAGGCCCGGAGAGGGTGTTTGGCAGCATGTGGCGCCCCCTCTCTCCGCGCTCCTCCCACCCACTCCCTCTCTCCTGGGTCACCAGCAGTGGGCCCGAACCCCCAGAGTCCTGGCGAGGCTTGGCCGCTTTGTCTGGGCTCAGGCTTATCTTCGGAGCCCACCAGCTGGAAGGGAACAAAGAGCCTCGACCCCCACGCCCCAGCCTCCGCCTCTCCCCCACGCGCCGGTTCATCACCTTCCCAAAGACCCCTTTGTCTGCCTGGGAAGCACAGGTCTGCCAGGGATGCCCACAGCCCCCCCACCCCACCCCCAAAGTCCTGCTTTTCTGACAATCGAGCTAGGTCACATTCGCAGCCCATCCACTCCATGTGTAAGCGACCTGATCACCCAGTCGGGCACCCCTTCCTCCCCAACAGACCACTTAGAGATTTGTGGGTGCATTACGACCATCCAGGCCATTCCCTATGAGCTTTTTCATTCTCTCCCAGTTCCTTTCGACCGTACTTCTGGCTGTCTCAGTTTTCTATACAATAGCAATCCCTTCCCTAAGGGTAAGCCTGTGTCTTGCTCAATTGCTCATTACTTAGGAAGGAGACTATTAACAGATGGAGTGCATGAAGTTCGTGAGTGTGTGCACGCTTTAGCAGGCTACACCACACACACACACACACACGGCAAAGATTCTATCTTCGTTTTAATAAATGCCGAAGAAAATAAAAACCAAGCGAGCATCTCCGCCAGTGTGGAGTTTCCGACAGCGGACGCCTCCGGATGAGGGAGGATTTCCGAAACAGGACTTTGAACACAGTTGACAACCAGGTTCACATCCTCAGAAAACGCTTCCAAGCCCTGTAAGCAACACAAAGTTGCAGCCATCCCCTCCCACCCCCACCCCGTGGGTAAACTTCAAAGAGACAGAGGCCAGGGGCAAGGAGGAAGGAAGTGTGATATTTAGAGAACTTACAGGGGTGAAGGAAGATTTTTGAACTCATCTAGACAAACTTGAAAAAAAAAAAAGAGGCAGAAATACAGTCTGTTTGAAGCTACAGTAGCCAGCTTCTAAAACTGTAACCATGACGCCCGAGCGTTTCATCCACGGAAGAGCCAGTAAGAAAGTATCCTCGGTTGTGCTGGAGTGTCTGGTTCAAACTAAGCTCCACGGGTCCGCCCCGCCCGCAGGAAAGTAGAGCGCAGCACATTTCCTGCGTTCTGGCTTTACCTTCAGCCTGCCCTAAGCCAGCTTTCCCGGGCATCTCCTCGAGCGATAAGACAGAGAAGGAAGGGCAACCAGATGGACAATAAAGATCTCGCTAGAGTCCTGCCCACGGACTGAAAGGACAAGGGCACACGCTCTTTGTTGACACTCCTGCGGTGACTTCCCCTTGGGCGTGCGAGCCCTGGCGCCAGCACCACTGGCACTGCCACCCAACAGCAAGTTGAACTCTTACTGGGAACACGCCTAGAGAAGCACACACACCTCAGCCGCTGCCTTTGTTATTTAATTCGCGAGACTAAACACGCACAAGCTCCTAGGAACACGCATCGTACCCCAACCCTCCCTCTATTGTCTATATTCACACTTCATTTATGGCTTGACTTTTTTTTTTTTTTTTTTTTTTTTTATCCTATCGTGAAATGAAGCTTTTCATTTACCCGATGAGTTGCGTCTCCTGGTGCTCCTCAGTTCTTGCTATTTCTTTTGTCTTATAAAAGATCAGGAGAAGACTTATCGTGCAGATCGTCCACCGCTTCCTAATGGAGCGCATCGTGGGTGCCTGGGAAAGTAGTGGTTGCCCCGGCTCCTGCACCTTCTCTGGATAGGAAAGCTCCGTTTGGGGGAGACAGAGTCGCGGGAGGTGGGGGGCGTTATCCGTGCGAGGCAAGGAGAGCGTGGAGCGGGGATCTCCGAGGCAGGTCG